GAAGCGTAGATCATTATTAGATTTAGCTTAGGTTCTCTCATTGACTTGGGAGAACAATTGCACTAGGGGCCATAACTGTTTCATTTTGTATGTACGTTGATTCATCTGGATGTATGTTTATGCATGTGAGAGACAATTTATATGATAAATAAGCCAATAAGATCAAACTAATTGAAAGTTCCCTCAAAATTGAACATTAAGTTTATGTTTTTCAAGTTTTATGACTCATCAAGACTAGTATTAAATAATGTAGGTTTTGCCTAATGTGAGGTGCATGTTCTATATTGGTAAGGTGCCATGGGATAAATGTAATATCCAATTTCTAAAACAATTGGTCAAACTTAACTAAATAAATTATAATAAGATTATATACGTTTAGAAGCAAGATTTGAAAATTATTCATATAATGGATTAGAATAAGGAGTTATTCACCTCAACTGAAAATATTCGAGAATTGTATTAGATGCAATTGGAAAGAGTTCCTACCTAAGTAATAGTTGCTGGAGAGCTTCGTATGTGGCGGCCATTGCGCCATTTTTCAACCAACAACAAGTACCTGTGTACCAACAAGTTTAGCAAACACAAGTTTATCGACCCGCTCAGGTTGCTCCTGCATATCAACAAGCGCCTGCAGCCCCAGCATATCAGCGACCAAGAGCTCAAGTAGTCTAACTCCGATGTTAAACCTCCTTTCAGTCTAATTCTGATGACATACATTGATTTATATCCTTCTCTGTTACAAAAGAGGTTAGTGGTTCCTAGACCTTTGGGTCCACCACCTAATCCTCTGCCTCCTTGGTATAATCCAAATGCTCATTACCCTTTCCATGAGGGTGCACCTGGGCATGATTTAGAAGGATGTTACGCTTTAAAGCACATAGTGAGAAAATTTATGGAAAAGAAGATTCTTTCATTCAAAGATTTGGGGCCGAATGTCAAAAGTAATCCTCTGCTCGCACATGGAGTTATTAATGCGGTTGATGGGGATTTTATTAAAGATGTTGCAAATATCAAGTATAATTTTCTAGTGTTCCATGCAAGACTAGTGGAAGCTGGATTGGTTAGGATTTGTAATAAGGATTGTGTAGAATATGCCATCCATCCAAGAGGATGTGAGATGGTACAAAAAGATGTTAAGACTTGATTGACCTAGGGTTATTACAAGTTAGTAGCCGTGTGAAAAGAGACGAAGTGGCGGTAATTGAGCCAACTTTCAATTTAATAGAGCCACTTGAGATAACCTATCGAAGAAAAGATATTGTTCAGTTAGTTAATCACCCACACATGTGGTTATCTGTATGCATAGTCCTTTCCCCTATGAAAGTACCAAGGATGTACCATGGAAGTATGATATAACTATCATTGACAAAGAATTTGAAGAGGCTAGACAAGAGAAAGGTCTGAAGGTTGATGGTACCAATGTCACAAGCATCGCATGGACAAGCAAAATCACCCGTAGTGGTCCAATTTATACTCCCCGGTTTAATGTGACCTCTCAAGTACCAACCAAAGAAACTATAGTTGCAGTCCCAACTAGGGAGAAAAATGTGGTTTAATCCAATGAAGATGCTGAATTCTTGAAGATCGTTAAAAAAAGTGATTATAAAGTTGTTGATCAATTGCACCAGACGCCATCAAAATTTTCCATTCTGCCTTTGCTTATGTGTTCCCTAGCTCATAAGAATGCATTATTGAAGGTGTTTGCGCAAGCCCATGTCACTCAAGATATAAAGGTTGGCCAGTTTGATGGAGTGGTCACCAATATCACAACTTACAACACTCTAAGTTTTAGTGTTGGAGAATTACTAAAGGAAGGACAAAATCACAATTGCGCCTTGCATGTGTCGGTAAATTTCTAATAAGATACTTTAGAAAGAGTCTTAGTGGATACAGGGTCCTCCCTCAATGTTCTACTAAATAGGAAGTTTGCCAAGTTGGCTTTTCAAGGATTAGAAATGAGGCCAAGTGCATTAATTGTCAAAGTATTTGATGGGTCTCGAAGAAGTATGATTGGTGAGGTGGAGTTACCAATTTTGATTGGCCCGCATGTATTCAACATCACTTTTCAGGTCATGGATATCAATCCTGCCTATAGATTCCAATTAAGGCGACCTTGGATACATGCCACTGGAACAATAACCTCAATTTTGCATCAAAAAATGAAGTTTTTCATCAATAACAAGCTTCTGATCGTCTCTGGTGAATAAGACATCATGGTTACTCACCTCTCATTCTTCCGTTACACCGAGGCTGATGAAGACATTTTGGACACTTCTTTCCAAGCTCTTGAGATAGTCAATGCCACTTTTGTGGAAGTGAAAGAATATGTGGAGAAGTTCAAACCTTCGCTTGCATCTGTGAAGAGTATGAAGTCGACTATTAAGAATGAGAGTCCTGATGGTTGGGGACAAGTTATTGCCATCAGCATGAAGAATAGCCTTTTTGGTTTGGGGTACAAGCCATCTTTCAAAGAAGGAGCCCCAGTCCCTGCAAAGGACCGAATGAGAATTATTCAAAAAGTATTCCTAATTGCAAGTTACGTCTTTGGAGATCAAGTCAGCACAGTTGAAGGGGACATTGAAGATGAAGACATGTCAAATCTGATGTATCGGTGTGAAACAACTTTGGCCAATTGGAAAGCAATTGAAATTCCTGAAATTATTCCTTTGTCATAGTAATTGTTGTTTTTCTTTGTTTTTTAAATCCTTAACTATGTCTAAAGCTAATGGATCATGTTGTAGGGCCACTTGTCATTTTCAAAATAATCATGATGAATAAAAGATATTTTGTTAAATTCTTATTGTTCATTTATTGTTTTTCTGTTTCTTTTTAAGAAAATGACAATCTTTTCAAAATCTACAAAAATATTTTCCTTTTGCATTTTTTAATTTTCCACTTTTAATAAAAAGCAATCATTCAAAAACATGTAGAATAATCAATAAATCCGTTGAGTCCAATGACTTTACTCCCTCTAATAACTTTGAGTTCTCTATCTATCGAGCAGAAGAAGAGGGTGAGGAAGATTGTGGTATCCCCGATGAATTGGAAAGGCTGCTTAAGCACGGGTCCAAAGCCCTCGAGACATATTAAGAGTCAGCGGAAATAATCAACCTTGGCACAAAGGATGAGAAGAAATAGGTCAAGATTTGAGCCACGCTTGGGGCAAGCATCAAAGAGAGATTGGTCAAATTGCTGCAAGAGTTTGTGGATGTGTTCGCATGGTCATACCAAGATATGTCAGGTTTGGATACTTATATTATTGTGCACAAGATACCACTTCAACCATAATGCCTACCAGTGAAGCAAAAACTCCTAAGAATAAGACCATACATGGCTCTGAAGATTCGTGAAGAGGTCAAGAGACAATTTTATGTCGGTTTCCTAAAAGTCTCGAAGTATCCTCAATGGGTGGCAAACATTGTACCTGAACCCAAAAAGGATGGCAAGGTTAGAATGTATGTTGATTATAGGAATTTGAACAAAGGTAGTCCAAATGACGACTTCCCTCTACCACACATTGTCACCTTGGTAGACAACACCGCTAAATTTGTTATTTTCTCCTTCATAGATGGTTTCTCAAACTATAATCAGATCAAGATAGACCCTGATGATAAAAAGACCATGTTTATCACCCTTTAGGGAACATATTGCTACAAGGTTATGCCTTTTGGTCTCAAGAACGCAATGACAACCTACCAAAGAGCGATGTTTACCCTCTTTCATGGTATGATGCACAAAAAGAATAAGATTTATGTCGATGACATGATCGCTAAATTCCAAAGTGAATAGGACCATGTGGATCACTTGCAAAAGTTATTTAAGCACCTCAGAAAGTTCTGACTACGTTTGAACCCTACTAAAGGCACATTTGGTGTTCGATCTGGAAAATTAACTAGCTTCATCGTTGGTCAACGAGGAATTGAGGTAGATCCAGACAAAATTATAGCAATACAAGAAATGTTTGTTCCACGTACTGAAAAAGAAGTCAGAGGTTTCCTTGGACGATTAAACTACATCTCCAAGTTTATCTCCCATATGAATGTTACATGTGAACCCATATTCAAGTTGTTTCGAAAAGATCAAGCAGTGGAATGGAATCCTGACTGTTAAAGATCTTTTGAGAAGGTTAGAGATTTCTTGTAAGTTCCTCCCATCCTGATTCCACTTATTTAAGGGAAGTCACTCTTTATATATCTGATTGTGCTTGAAGAGTCTATGGAATGCGTGTTAGGACAACAAGATAAAATCGGCCAAAGAAGCATGCTAGTGTTAGGACAACAAGATAAAACCAAAGAAGCGTCCTATTTATTATATTTGAAGACAACAAATGGACCATCGAGCAGCTTATCATATTTGAAGAAACATTGAACTAATGGGACAGTCTTCTCACTCTAAAAAAAATCTTACACATCTTGGGAGAGCCTGCCAATCAACTCTCCCGCAAAAGACAAATTTGAAAACTGGTGGGCTCAACATATTTGAAGAAACATTGGACTAATGGGACAATGCCATTGAGATGCAGTCATTGAGATGCAACCATTGAGATGCAATCCACAAATTCACAGCTATCCATCACAACAACTTCTTTATTAAAATACAACCATTGAGATGCAATCTAGTGCCACAACTTCTCCATTAAGATACAACCATTCAGATGCATCATATAGAAAGTGCTCGGAAGATCCCGATCCTTACCATCTCAACCAAACTACATGGCATTGGCAGTATCATTCCATATTATATTTCCACGTGAATATCCCCTATTCCTCATGCTGCAGGAGATGTAAACGTTTGGGTTGTACCAAAAGAAAAAGATATAAAAGTTTAGCATGAAATTTACAATGTCCATATTCACACTCTTAAACGGCCAAAAACAAGGAGTGGACGGAAATTTTATAGTCTTAGATAAAGTTGACTTCCAGAAACATAATTGCATCTATTCTTAACTAAATCCCTCCCAGCAAAGCATCACTACACATTAAAAGATTCAAAAAGAAAAACTAGCGTTCTATCTGGATAGTTACATGACTAATGTTATGCACCCTCTTGATGTAGTCTATAACTTTGTCCAACATGGCGTCGGCATCTGCTTCAGGATTGATTTTAACATGACAGGCTAGCAATACCTTCCCAACTGTAATGGCCCATATGTGCAGCTCATGAATAGCCACTACTTCTTCCATCTCCAGTAGGCCCTTTTGAAGTTGAGTAGCATCTATCTCTCGTGGCGTGCTCTCCATCAGGACTTCCAAAATGTTTCGCAACATGTTGATAGTTGTGGCCAAAACAATTACAGAAAAGATTAGAGTGCAAATTAAATCAACTATTTTCCATTCAGGTTTATACCATATAATTGCTCCGCCAATCATTACTCCAACACTCTGGATAGAATCCCCAAGTACATGGAGATAAGCCCCGTGTACGTTTATGTTGCGTTTCTTCTTCTCAGGCATGCCTTTTGATTCACCAAGAAGTGGTACAGCGCCCTCTTTGTGAACATGGTCATGATGATGCATGTGATCATCATGATGGTGAGTGTGATGATGCTCATCTTGTGTTTGTCTTATATCATGATTGGTAGAAACTGAAATACCATGGATGTGGCCATGATGATCATGTCCGTGTCCGTGATCATGCCCGTGTCCGTGATCATGTCCATGTCCGTGGCCGTGTCCGTGATCATGGCCCAATACCAAAGCCATAATGATGTTAACCACAAGACCAAATGCAGCAACTACAAACATTAAAAACCCATCCACATTTTGAGGACCTGCAATGAGTCTAGCAATGGCTTCATATACAAGAATCCCGGCAAGCAGCCATATTAATTGCATAGAAACCAAAGCGCCGAGAATCTCTATTCTAAAAAATCCAAACGACTGACGAGGATTCGGTTCCCATCCCCCGGCCCATATAGAAAATAAGGAGATGGCAAATGCTGCAACATCTGAAAGCAAATGTGCTGCATCAGTCAATATTGCAAGACTGTTAGCCTTAATACCACCAACTACTTCAACAGCCATGAATATAACGCAAAGGACCACTGCTATCAAAAGCTTCCGCATCGAAGTTGATCGTTCTTCAGCATCCTTTGAGATGGATCCAGCATCTGAGAACTCACATGTTGCTTCCCCGCAAATTTTCCTTGCTACATCAGGAAGATCTCCGCTGACTTCAATAATTTGTGTATGCTGAGTGCTCGGTGCTTCCATCTGCAATATATTAATAAAAATGTAATATTTATTGAGTTGGTGATTTACTGGACAAAAAGCATACACTTCCAAGCACTAAATGAAAATAATAATATTAAATCATCCATCAATAACTTTGTACAGTATATCTTTGCCGAGTTCATCTCAGGTTACACTGCTCCAGAACTAGAATAAGACATAAAAAGAAAAATGGAAAAAAAATGATGTTCTGAATTCCACATTAGGGTGAGCTGCATCAACCATTATCCAATAAAACATCTAAGACCATCATTAGTCTTTATAAAACATTTAGAACTCTTAAATGGATGTATATCTAACAAATTTTCTATTTGTTATAATTTGCCAAATTCAATAAACGGCTTAACATTTCACTGTTTGATAGACATAACAAATCAATAGTTATATTTCAAACATATCTGACCATATGCAATAATTTGAGAAATCTTGCAACTAAATCAGAGGCAAATAAAACAATTTCATATGAATGAATAAAATGATGTTTTTTTCTGATTAAAAGTTTCAGATATACACCGCGTGAAGAGCCAAGTAAGCAAAACTTTTAACACAGCTATATAAAATTGACGAATAACTGAAAGCAATAGAAAAATAATTAGACCACAAGGACTGGCATTTAAACAATATATTTCCAACAACTACCTACAAGGAGGAAAAATATTGACAAGACACTGAAAAGAAACATTAGAAGAAAACACAGAATGAATTCATCACTCTACATATATGAAGACTTCTTTGGATTTTGGAAAGGAAAACCAATGATGAAATCTGTTGCATTAATTAGATACAGGGGTCTCTATGCTCAACTATAAGAAATAAAAATCAAAAGTGCAATTGAAGTACTTAACAATTGATTATGACTTTGGAACCCCAAGCCATTCATTAAATTCCTACTTGAAATATAGACGCTAACAATTGCTCAGAGTATATTCTAAGTTAGCGGGTACCAGTACCCGTACCTTTGCAACGCAGATTCTAACTAATAACCAGTCAAATCAGAGAGCATCGGAAAGTATCTAGTTGCAATTTCAGTCCCAGTCAACTACTTAAAAAAGTAATAGCTTTATAAGTGAGAAGATATAATATAAGCAAATGAAGTTGTTAACTCGATATCTAGTCGATCTAATACAAACTGTAGTTTTTTTTCAAATGATTAGAAATAATCATCTTGATTATAGAACAACAATACAGAACTTCGATGGTCATAGGTATATTCTGTTACAGTTAAGAGATTTAGTTAGATAACAGATTTGTTAGTTTGTGTGTTAGGGGGACAGTTGGGCAGATCCTCAAAGCTATGCCATTTTCGGGAATCAAATCAAACAGTTAGCCAAACCCTCAAATCTATGCCATTTTCTGTAATCAAAATAGACTCTTTGCTTATCAGAACCTCAGCGACCTCCAAATGCCAAAAGGCCTAAAATTCTCTTAAGTTCCCAAAGAACCCCTTCGTCTCCATTCTCAATTATTTATATACAGTGTGATAACCTATCCTCTCTAACAAGTTTCAACTAACTAACAAATTGGATAACCAACAACCTCAATTTCCCCAACTGATATATATGTATCGCCATCATAAATTATTTAAACATGTCATTTGGTTGCTGTAATATAATGATTACTTTGATGGTTAACTAGTTTATGCAAGGTAATGCATAGATTTAGTTAAGAGTACCTACAATTTTCATTATTGAAGCATGATACTCTCACTATGAATGACAAATTTACAAGAACTAACAGGACAAAAGAGATTTAAAACCCGGCTATAAAGACTTCCTTCACAATTATGCAAAATAACAAATATAAATAACTAATAACTAACAACTAAAGTGCAAATTTACATTATTGCTTTCCAAAATCAAAGGAAGAAAAACATTAACCAAGATGATATGTGATTCAGACAAACATGTAGTGATATGAACAAATGGTTATTCCAACAAATACTCATATTTGTGCTACAAATAAGGCCTAAAATGAATTCCCACAAGTGCAAGAAAGAGCATATGAGAAAGTTATAAAAGCATCTTTCTTTTTCAATGCATCATTCCCAAAAGCATGAAACAAAAAAACAATAGCAACAAGGTCACTCCATCATGAATACACTTCAAAGCTCAAATTAACACACAAACTCACACTAAATCAAACACAACAGAACAAATAGAGAATCAAAGCTCGTGAACATACCGTTCAACAAAATTCAGCGCCCTTGTTAAGATTCTTCAAATACAAGAAAACTGCATAATCAAAACTAGTCACTTATCAAACAACCACAATGAACCTACCTTCACAACAAAATGCCCCAAAATCACATAGAAAAAAATCCCTAAATTGACCATATAAATATAGAAATTTGATGCAAATCTCATAATTATTCAATTCAACTTAAATCTCACATAAAATTATTAACACCAAATAATAAAATAGATGCTTCTAGAGTTCTAGGATCCTGACAAAGAAAAAAGCAAAAAATTGCCACAGTAAAGGAACAAAACTACACCTAAAAGCCAAAAGTAACAAGTTAAAAAAAGTGATTTCAATTAAAAAACTAAGAATTAAGACAAACAGAAAACCACAAAAAGTGATGGGATAATGTGAATTGAATGATAATGCCAAGGGCGAAAGTAGAGAGAGAACGGATAGGGTTTACGTAACGCACTTTTGCAGAAATGTGATTCTCCTTCTTTGTTGGTTGATTCTGAATCCTTGTGGTTCTAATTTAGTACTATTTATTTGGAGGTTTATTAGCGGTGAGTGGGTAAAAAGAGAATTGTTGTGTAATTGTATGTGGTTGTTTGGTTAAACAAGACATCTTTAATGCTACATTAAATGCATATGATTGAATAAAAGATAATGAATAAAAGTGGTATGTGGTTATTCACATTTATTTCAACTTTCAATGTTTTTTTATTACTCGTTTTTAGTTTTGATTTATTATGATTTGTTGGTCAAAGTTTAAGAAAGTTAGTAAAAAATCATCATAGTTCTTCTAAATTAACCAATGAAAGAATCTTCAACTACAATGTTATATCTTTTGGATGAATTTAAGATTTTCATAATCTCCTCTCTCTAAGACTTGGTACGTTAAGATCTAAGAAACAAGATAGGGCTTAGGTGCTTAGATGCAGAGCTTTCAAATGCAGGTGACCAAATATTTTAGTAATGTTTGAACTTGTTATGGACTAACCAACTGTCTATAAGATCGATCTAACTCACAGATATAATTTTTTAAAAATGTGTGTCGCGCTATCGCATATGTGGTCCTCCCTCTCACTTCATTGGATAGGAGCGTGTCGCCCCTTTTATATGAGTCACGTGATCATTATCTAACAATATCGTGTGTTCCACGTTAGACAGTTTAGAGATAGTTATAATAGTCTCTCATATATAATTGTAACGTTGAGTCACATGCGAGTATAATTTATTACACACTTGCAAAAGTTCACCATAATCTGATACAAATTTGAACATTATAGTGTTAATTATTTTTTTCATGCACCCTTTATAATTATTGGAGAACCATCACCATGGCGCCAGAAGCATTTAATAAGGGTTTTCTTCGGCATACCAGTCATCTTTTGTTCTATATCGAGACAATATCGTTGTTTATGGGAATAGTCTTTCGATTCTCCTTAATCTTTTCAATCTCGCAATTGTAACTACCTTCAATTGTATTTTTGATGGATGGTTCAAGGTAAACTCGTGGTCATAATGTTACTAATGAGTGCCTCCGATCATCGGTCTAAATCCTCCAAGACAATGATGCAACATTTCTTTCTCTATTCAGTGAAGATTCTCCTCTAAAACAAGATTCATAAGTTTCAACAACAAACCTTTAGCACCATGGTTCTTCCTTTGCATGCTTAGTTTCCTCCAGTGCATGCTTTGACTCCTCCATCAATACACTTCTTTTAACACTTTCAAACCTCATTCAATGCTCCGATGACGAACATGCTTTTATTAAACAACTTAACAATATCGGAATGACAAAATGTGAGGCTTGTCATTGTAGTAAAGAGCCAAGACAAGATTTATGTTGAGAGAACGATGCAAATTGAGGTCTTGTAATGCATCCAAACTAGAAGAATTCCACTGAATACGCCCACCTATACAGATTTGTAACCATCAAGAATTCAAAAGCATCCAAAAAGGCCACAATCTCTCCCCCACTATGATCCTTCTATACCACATGACTTTGATGGTGAAGGTGGCAACAACATGCCACTTGGTGGTCGTCATCCAATGAGACATCATTTTTCTTGTCGTCCATGAAAGAGGCACGAGAAAAACTCTTTTGGAGATACCATCACTCATCATCGATAAAACCTATTCATAAGAAGAGCCAAAAAGTGCATCATTCTCTGGTACTTGAAGAAACTTCTAATGCTGGAGACATTTGATGGGGACTCTTACAAGTGCGTATGGCATGTATACATTATCTTATACTACCATTTAGCCAAAATCAATTAAAGTTTAAACTTTAGTTCTCATGTTGATAAGGACTGTCATAATTTGGTTCAATGGTATGAAGGATAACTATATCGACTCTTGGAGAACATTTTATGAAGAATTCCCATCTCTTTTCCCCTCATGAAAGCGTCAATCGAACACAATGGTCATACCCAACTCCATTTTTCAAAATAAGACGGAGACTTAACAAGAATACATTGACAAATTCACTAGAGAAGATGTAGAGGTTAAATGGGGAAATGACAAGTTAAAGTGTTGATCTTTGAGAAAGTATTAAAATCATATTTGTGTCTTTATAAAAGAAATATGGTTTTGAAATAGCCTCAATGCATGAGATAATTACCCGCCATAACTGAACCATATATTAACTACGGGGAGAAGATGATGGTTGAAGAAATTGAGAAGAATAAAACATACGGGAAAACTTAGGCTAACAAACGTCATAAAGATGAAAATACCTAGAAGAATAATGAACCATATTCTCGTTTCCCGTATGTATTGGAGGAAAGTAAAATGAG